ACGAAAAGAAGCTTTTTTATGTATTAGAGATAAGAGATGTTGGTAATTTAAACAAAAACCAAAATAACATTGGTTACTAACTCAAATGAGAGTTGGTAATGCAATATTAGTTGGTAACTTAGTTGGAGAAATTTGATAATTACTTTAATTGAAGTTGATAATTTGTAAAATAAGTTGGTAAATTTAAAAAAAGTTGGTAAGTTAACCAGATGAAAATTTGATAAAATTTAGAGAAAAAATGAATAAACGTTGGTAACTAATTACTTAAATGACAGTTAGCAAAAAAATAGTAGGTAATTTAATCAAAGCAAAGTTGATGAGTCACCCTAAAGGTTGGTAATTTGATATAATTGGTTGGTAAATGTAGGGCGTTGACAAGAAAGGAAAACTAAAGTTTTGTGAAAAAATGGGATAAATTTTTTTTATAGAGATAAAAGAAGTTGTCAATTTGTGAAAATATCAGATAAACGTTGGTAGTTGGTAATGCAAAACTAGTTAGCAGCTTAGTCAGAGAAAAGTTGGTAATTGCTCGTATTAGGTTTGGTACTATCTAAAAGAATTTGGTAAATTTAACGGGTTGAAACAAAAGGCAAATAAAAGTTAATAACTCCACAAAAAGATTGGTAAATTTACAAAGAAGAAATTAAATCAACATCATTAAGCAATTAGTTATCTAAAAGGGGTTAATACCACGAAAACCTCAAATTGATACACCTGTGATAAATTTACCCCAAACTAATTTTTTGATCATGAAAAACCCCAAACTGGTACACTTGTGACAATTTTACCTTCTATTAGTTTCTATTAAATTTTATCATCAAATTTTTAAGTTGGATGACACGTGGCAGTTGACAGGTATACAAGTTTGGGGTTTTACCCTCCGTCTGTCACAAGTGTACCATTTTGTGATTTTTCATGATATTAATCCAATTTAACGGAGTATAAATTTGTTACAAATGTACCCGTTTGAGGTTTTTGATGGTCAAAAAATTAATTTAGGGTAAATCAGTCACAAGTGTACTAGTTTGGGGGGTTTTTTATGGTAAAAATATTATTTTGGGGTAAATTTGTTACGGGTGTACTAATTTTGGGTTTTTCGCGGTATTAACCCTAACTAAAACTAGTGGGTAACCTAATGGGAGAAAAAGTGGTAAGTAACATAAGTAAAATGTGACAATTTCAAATAAGAGTTGATAAATTTAAGGCATTTGTAAGAAAAATAAATAAAAGTTGGTAAATGAATAACAATAATTGATAAACTCAAAAAACTAAATGAATGTCGGTAAGTAACTCAAATGAGAGTAGGTAATTCAAGACAAATTCATAAAAGAGTTGTCAAGCTTAAAGTTTCGATAAGAATAAACAAATAAAAGTTGGTAAATTTCATCAAAGTGGGCAAGTTATTAATAAGTTATCGAAAAATCAGATTTCTTCTAATATTTTATCAACGGTTTTTACTCTTTTAGAAATCTACCAAAGTGGGGACAAATCTTTTCTTCTGTTTTTTTTCAGAACGGACGAGTAGAATTGTTCGATTTTAAGTACTGATGAATTGAATCTCTAGCACTTTCTTTTAGTGCATATGAGCATGATAATAAACGGATCTCCACGATTGTATCGTCCGGTAGTCAGCATCTCCAGAAAAGTTAATTATTAGGTAGGCGATACTTGCAAAGCTCATTCTTCCGACCGGTGTTACAACATACATTCCGACTCTAAAGATCCACCACGACCCTCGAATTTGGGGAGATGACGCACGTATTTATTTTCAAGCCGGAGAGATTCTGGAACAGAGTCGCCAACTCCGAGAAGTAGTGTCGGCTTGAATTTTGCGACGGTTGAAGCTAAGGTCGTCCTGCTTGCCCTGAATATGGGTTCAACTCATTCTCACTTCTGTATAGTGTTAAGATGTATCTATCCTTAATACGAAATTATTTCGTTCGATGATTAATGTATTCAAGTCAACTCTTCTTTCATTTTCAGTTCAGGGTGCACCGAATCTCGTGCCCAGGAGTAATGTATTCAAGTTTATGCACTAGTTAGTTGGCAACCTCCATCTGTTTATCGTGTCCATATACTCCACTTCCACTTATAGATTCATCAGAAGCAAAGCTCGAATGACACCATCAAAAGTTGCTCAAGCTTCTCGTCAGAATTTTTAAAAGAAGGTCGATCTTTGAATGATTTTAGGACGATATGTTATCACCTGGGGCATCCTTTCTTTTAGTTATAGTTACTTATGAGTACATACATATACGTAACCTCATTTATTTATAATTACCTGTCACATGGGCTGTACTTTCTTTTATTTATTTTAGTCAAGACTTTGTCAACGCTTATCGCCCATCTCGCCCCTCGTCAATAATTCTGCTGCAATGCACATTCACCTTCCTTATCCATGTGAGCTGAAAAATGGGACTTCATGATATAGAGGTGAAGGGTCAGGGATTTAGAAGGGTTAATATTACACAATTGAGGCGTGGGAGTGACGTCCGAACGTTTGCGTTAATGGCCCGGCGATATGGTGTTAATCTTCTTAGGGGATCCCCAGTGGTGAGGTTGGCCCATGACAAGTGGGATCATAGCTGGTTTTCTAAACGGTATGGGTGGATGCCACGATAAGATCCATTGCCATTTTTCCAACTAAAAAGAATATGCCTTTTAGTTTGCTGAAATAAGGATAAGCTTAGTAGACAAAAGAAAGAACTGCCATTAGAGCACACCGGGCTTTGGGTACCACACTTGCCAGGGTAGAGCACAAACACTGAAGATTCGAAATTAAATTTGATCTGGGGAGAACAATCGACGGTGTAGACAAAAGAAAGTGCTGCCATTAGAGCACATTGGGCTTTGGGTACCACACTTGCCAGGGTAGAGCACAAACACTGAAGATTCGAAATTAAATTTGATCTGGGGAAGCAATCGACGGTGTGAAGTGGTCTGTTATTTGGGCGAGCGGTTACCATTCACATGAGTTCTAGGGGAGTGGCAAAAATGGTCAAGGAAATATTGCAGAAATTGGACGAGGGACAGTGTCACCGTTTGCTTTCTTCCTTATCTATGTGGGTTGGAAGTAAGGTTTCACGGTATCGGAACGTAGTGGGAGGGATACAGGAGAGTCAGTACAAGTAGCTTGTGGGAGGTCAATCAAGATGTTTGTATAAGGGATAATCTTGCTAGGGGATCTCCCGGAGCGGGATTGGCAATCTAAGTTCAAACTAGTCTGGAATTATGACACTCTCTTAATGATTGTCATGGGCCGAACCGGTTATTATGTTTTAAAGTTATGTGTATGTCTTACTCGAGAGACTGAATGTTCAAGTTAAATAAGACGTGGTACGTTTGATAATGAATAATGCGATTTACCATATTAATCTTTGAAATGATTTAATGAGGGAAGGTTAGCATGATGTTCCAACTCATATGGCGCCACGTGGGCTTGTCCTCGGCCACAAAAGTTTTGGCTTGTGATACCATGCGTCTAGGGGTGTGCAAACGGAACCGCCCGAACCGGAAACCGCCCGGACCGGACCGGACCGACACTATTTGGGTGGTTCTAAGGGGTGCCGGTCCGGTTCCCGGTTCCTAAAAGTGGAACCGGTGTCCGGGCGGTCCGGTTCCCGGTTCCAAGGGGAAACCGGACCGGACCGGACTGACCGGACCGACCGGACCGGACCGACATAATTTTTCTTCAAAAAAATTAATAAAATGTAAACTAAATCCTAAGTTAACTTTATTGACATAAATTCTTTGATAAAAATTAGTAAAATGTGAACTAAACTCTAAGTGAACTTCATTGATATAAATTCATTGATAAAAATTAGTAAAATATGAACTAAACCCTAAGTATTTGACCAAAAAAAAAACTAAATCCTAAGTGACCGGTTCTATTGGACCGAACCGGAACCGGACCGGACCGACGGTCCGGTCCGGTCCACGGTTCCCAAAATTGGGAACCGGTTCTCCCGGTCCGGTTCCCGGTTCCACTTGGAACCGGACCGGACCGGGAACCGATCACCCCTACATGCGTCCACTAACAAATCATTCCGTAAATGTAACAAATAAAAGTCCTAAAATCAATCCTAAAACTGTAGGAAAATTGAAGTACGGGAATTGCAAGAACACAAGTGACGAAATATTCAATATGGGGGACTCAATTAGAATGGACCATGAATACAAGGACTACAAGGGTATCTATGTGCTTTTACGCATGTAAGCATTTTTGTTTGTTTAGAGTGACTTTTTTTCATTCGCGGTTAAATATTTCTTTTACGGCTAAATGCCTTAAACTTTACAAAACGTACATATGTTGCTTTCTCTGTTTGCAATAGTTCCTTTGGCAAGAAACTACTAGCATTTAACAGAAGTCTGGCAAACGAGGATTACTTGTAAGCTACATTTCATAACGTAAACGACTAGACATTTGACGTTAAGATCCTTTCTCTATCCATGGATATCTCGGTGCAAACGAGCCCATCAGCTAAAATTAAAAGTTTAGGAGGTCAATCATATTGTGACACGGGGCAAGTCTTTATCGACTCGATAATTTCGAATCAAACCCTTTTGGGTCCAAGCCAGTAGTTGACTTCAAAGCTCTGTAAAACAGCTCTTCACTCCCTTTCTTTTGCAAATTGCGAATTTGGAAAGAAACATGGATTTCCTCAGAAGTGGTGTGTTCTTCTCATTGTGCTCTCTGGTTCTATCTCTTTTCTTAGCTCTTGTTATCAATATGCTGCACAAGTCCTGGTGGGTTCCAATGCAAGTACAAAGAAAAATGGCTGCCCAAGGAATCAAAGGTCCAGCCTACAGGTTCTTCTATGGAAGCACCAAAGAGATGCTTCAAATGAAGAGGGAAGCCACAAGCAGACCCATGAGTCTTTCTCACGATAATTTCCCATATGTCCTGTAATATTTGCCTCTTCTTTTGACCAGGTCAAAAGACTTAGGCTGAAGGAAAAAAAAAAAAAGAAAAGAAAAGAAAAGAAAAGTCAAAAAGTGAAGATAAAAGGAAGAAGCAGCGGCTGGTCGGGAAAACAGAAGAGAAAAACAGAGGAGAAGAAAAGGAAAAAGGAGAGGAGAAAGGGAAGAAGAGAAAGGGAGGGTTTGTGCGCGCGGGTCCTCGCCGAGCCGTTCCGACTAAGTAACGCAACGACTAGTAAGTACTCGCAACCCTCGTTAGTCCTATCGGAATAATTTTTCGATTAGGGCTCGGAAATAAGAGTTATGTGGATTTGAGCTGCGTAGTCCAATTTTTGGGTTGTCAAGTCTTAAATATCCATGAAAATGAAAGATTATGGTGTTGTGGGGCTGTGCGTTTTGACGGATATCGATTCGGAGTTACGGTTTGTCCGGAATCAAATTTTGAAGTTGAGAGCATAATCTGGAATTTCGTGAACAGTACTTTCCAGGGCTTTGATTGTTGTTTTTGGGCTGTTGTTTGGGTTGGCTGTGTTGGGACATCCATAGTATGCTGGATGGGTTTCGTTTTGACTATAAGAGCGCGCAAAACGGAGTCCGGTGGAGGAAGTTATGGCGCGTGGAAATTTGGCGCGCGAGTTGTTCGTTGTGGTTGGCATTAGATTTTTTCCATTGAGCAAGCCGTCGTAGGCTCGTGGGTGTCGGATTATTGGCTAGTTAGCCTTAGCTTATTCGAGTCGCGCGTTAGGGGTAAGTATTACTCGGTTTTGATTCGTTTTTCCGTATGTTTGATAGGATTTTGGAACCGTCGGCTCAAGTATCACATATGGGTTAGTTGTGGATTACCAGATGAGGGACATTATATCTTCTATGAATTTACAAATTCATATTTTGATAATGAGATATAATTTTTAATACAGTGGAGCATGTTTTCTGCATAAATTGGATCGATCATTTACTACCTTTTGTCGATTGTGAAATGAGTTGAAAAGTCTGATGACGTTATTGAAATGAAGCTTTTGTGAATGCTTATATTAAAGGTTTTGTGAAGAGGATTAGCCGAGGGCTATTCTTGTTGTGAAATGTTTTGTGAAATGGATTTATTGGTGTTGATTATGGATTTCTAGATTGAGTTATAAGTTGCTGCTGCTCGTATTACTATGTTGAGAACCCGTTGAGGGGGGAGTATGCATACTGTCAGGATATCCTTCTGGGCCGAACCGCCGGCTTATAATAGGTGGTAGACCTTGCCAAGAGGGTTAAACTTGGTCGCCTTTGTCACGGCGTTAAACTTGACCATAGTTTGATTACGAGCATGAGATTGGTTGATGGATTGACCATCAACGTGTTATGTGATGAGACTAGTCAATGGATAGACCATTGATGATTGTCTATTGTTGTTAAGTGAGTTTTTATTGAGAAATCTGATACGAATGACTTTTATTGAAAAGTTATTATACCTTTGAGATATTTTTGGTTATATTGTACATTGAGTTTGAGTTATGAGCTGTGATATTTTTATGCTATTGCACAGTAATTGTTCGACCCACTTAGAAGAAATATGTTACTCACTGAGCCGTGGTAGCTCACCCCTTATCTTACATACCTTTCAGGTTCTTCTGCTGGCCGCAAGTAGGGCGTGAGCGGGCGTTAGTCGGAGGATTTCTTTTTGATTGTGGGATTTTGGGTACGTTGTACATTTTGACGTTGAGCTATTGGAATAGTTTTTTGTTGGATTTGTATATATCCTTTTGATGGTTTTAGAAAGCTCTGATGTTTTCGAGTCTTGTTTAAGTTTAGGCTGCGTCCTTTGGGTGAAAGGACGGCCGTGTTACGATCCCGTTTTGGTTGTATTCGGGGTGTGACATTTGTTGGTATCAGAGCAATAGGTTATGATTTTTGGGTGGGACGTTGTGAGATTGTGTGATAGACTTTAATGCGTTAGTTTTAGATACTAAGGTGTATTCTTGATTCTGGATTTAGGTAATCATGAGTTCCGACTCGGAGCCGCTCATCTCTTTTCGTAAGAATAAGGGAAAGAGAGCCATCACCTTTGACTCGAGAGATGTGCCTCGAGGTCCGAGAGTAAGGTCTCCGACAAGAAGGCGAGATGACGTAGGAGCAGACTCGCAAGAAATAAGAGGGGAAAGTCAACAGCCAAGGGCCCAAGACGTTGTAGTTGAAGCTGGTGAACCTGGGAGTGGCAGAGGCTACACCTTTGCCCAGTTTAGAAAGTCAAAGCCGCCCACTTATGATGGGAAAACTGATCCTCTTGTAGCTGAGCGATGGATTAGGAAGATAGAGGGAATATTCAGAGTTGAAGAAGTTCCGAATGATAAGAAGGTGGACTTTGCCACCCAATATTTGGAAGGTGAAGCTGAGTATTGGTGGGAAGGAAAGAGGTCCACTCTTGGAGATGAAGATGCTACTATTTCTTGGAAGTACTTCAAGGAAGCGTTCAATGCCCAGTTCTTTCCAAAATCCTTCCAAGCAAAGATGAAGGGCGATTTTCTGCATATATCGCAAGGTGATTCTTCTGTTTTAGACTATGCGGGTCGCTTCAATCAGATGAGCAGGTTTGCGGGGCATTTTATGGCAAATGAGAAGGAGAAAGCTGAACATTTTTTGAGAGGACTTCGACCTGAGATTCGTTTTACACTCGCATCTCTTTTACTCACCACTTATGAGGATGTCCTGGAGCGAGCAATTAAGATTGAACAAGAGATCATGGAGAGTGGCACCCAGGGTATTCCTCAGCCCAAGAGGCCGAAGTTCACTAATTTCCAAGAGATTCGTATTCGTGACAACAACAAGCAAAGAAGCACTAGTAGGTTTGAAAGGGGGAAGAGTCAAACTGTTCAGGGTGCTTGCGTTACTTGTGGGAAATATCATAGTGGCCAATGCTATTGGAAGCGGGGAACTTGTTTTCTATGTGGGAAGATGGGACACATGCGGCAGAATTGTCCAATGCAGAGAGATACTCCAGCAGGTAGTAGATTATGCTTCGTTTGTGGACAGCCTGGTCATATAGCTCGCTTTTGTTCCATGAGGAAGGATGTTCCCTCAGTTGGTAGGCCCCAAGAGAATCAGCCAAGACAGAGGGCGACAGGGAAGGTTTATGCGATGACGGAAGAGGATGCGGCAGCATCTAACACAGTAGTTGCCGGTAATATCTCAATTACCTCACAATATGCTTATGCATTGTTTGACCCTGGCGCTACGCATTCTTTCATTTCAACTGAATTCGCAAAGAAACTTGATATGCTACCTGATCCTCTTGAATATGAATTGCGTATTGAGACTCCTACGGGTGACTTCGTTATGGTGGACCGTGTATTTAAGCAATGTATGCTTTTGGTCGATAATGTTCAAATGCCTGGAGATTTGATGTTGTTGAATATTCGAGATTTTGATGTTATTTTAGGGATGGATTGGCTATCAACATATCATGCTACTGTTGATTGTCATTCAAAGAAAGTTACCTTTCGACTCCCAAATGAGCCCGAATTTTCTTTTTCGGGAAGTTGTAAGGGTACTTTTCCAAGATTAATATCGGCAGTGCAAGCGAGGAAGCTTCTAAGGAAAGGTGGTTATGGATATCTAGCTTGCGTAAAAGACACCAGTAAAGAAGTTGTGAAACTGGAAAATGTTCCAGTTGTTAGAGAATTTCCTGATGTGTTTCCTGAGGATTTGCCCGGCTTGCCACCCGATAGAGAGATTGAGTTCTCTATTGATCTGATGCCTGGTACAGGACCTATCTCGAAGGCACCATATCGGATGGCACCATCTGAATTGAAAGAATTGAAAACACAGCTACAGGAATTATTGGATAAGGGCTTTATTAGGCCCAGCGTCTCGCCTTGGGGAGCTCCAGTCCTATTTGTGAAAAAGAAGGACGGTAGCATGCGGCTTTGTATAGATTACCGTGAACTCAACAAGGTAACGATCAAGAATAAATATCCTTTGCCACGGATTGATGATTTGTTTGATCAACTTCAGGGAGCTCGGGTATTTTCTAAGATCGACCTTCGGTCTGGATATCATCAATTGAAAATTAAAGCAGATGATGTATCTAAAACTGCTTTCAGAACGAGGTATGGGCATTACGAATTTCTTGTCATGCCTTTTGGATTGACAAATGCGCCTGCTGCTTTTATGGATTTGATGAACAGGATATTCAAACATTACCTCGACCAATTCATTGTGGTGTTCATTGATGATATCCTGGTGTACTCGAGGAGTTTGGAGGAGCACGAACAACACTTGAAGCTTGTCTTGCAGACCTTGCGTGAGCAGAAATTGTTTGCTAAATTCAGTAAGTGCGCTTTCTGGCTTGATCATATTGAGTTCTTGGGTCATGTTATCTCGAAGAATGGCATCGCAGTTGACCCAAAGAAAGTTGAAGCGGTTGTTCAGTGGAATCGCCCTACCAATGTAACAGAAGTGAAAAGTTTTCTTGGACTAGCTGGCTATTACAGGAGATTTGTGGAGGGATTCTCCAAAATAGCTGGTCCACTTACTCGCCTAACTCAAAAGGGAGTTAAGTTTGTATGGTCTGATCAGTGTGAGCGCAGTTTTCAAGAATTGAAAAGGCGGTTAGTGACGGCTCCCATATTAACCTTACCTTCAGGAACCAGTGGCTTCACAATTTATTGTGACGCATCTAAAGAAGGTTTAGGGTGCGTTCTTATGCAGGACGATAAAGTGGTGGCCTATGCTTCTAGACAGTTGAAGACACATGAAAGGAACTACCCCACTCATGATCTTGAATTGGCAGCAGTTGTATTTGCTTTGAAAATATGGCGACACTACTTGTATGGTGAGAAATGTGAGGTCTTTACTGATCACAAGAGTTTGAAGTACATCTTTACTCAGAAAGAATTGAACATGAGGCAGAGGAGATGGTTAGAACTCTTGAAGGATTATGACTTATCCATCAATTATCACCCAGGTAAGGCAAATGTAGTAGCGGATGCCTTAAGTCGTAAATTTTCTGGAAACATGGCAATGTTGCTCACTTCTCAGCAACCTATCCTTGAGGATATGAGGAAGCTAGATTTGGAGGTGTTTGTGCATCAATTAGGTGCTCAGATAGCTAATCTTCGAGTACAACCGACATTGATCGACAAAATTAAGGCTAAACAGAATGATGATTCTCAGTTGGGAAAGATCAAAGAAGGCGTAGAAACTGGGAGACAGTCGGATTTTAGTATTCATGTAGATGGGTCATTGAGGTTTCGTGGTCGGCTATGTATTCCTGATGATCCTGAGTTGAAAAAGGAAATATTGCAGGAAGCTCACAGCACTAAATACTCGATTCATCCAGGAAGTACTAAGATGTATAGAGATTTGAGAGGACATTTCTGGTGGGTCAACATGAAGAAAGACATTGTAAAGTTTGTCGATCAATGCCTGGTTTGTCAGCAAGTAAAGATTGAACATCAGAAACCAGGTGGACAACTACATCCACTTGAGATACCTAAGTGGAAATGGGAGCATATTACCATGGACTTCATCGTCGGTTTACCGAGAACGCCAAGCGGTAAGAATGCTATATGGGTGATTGTCGACCGGTTGACTAAATCGGCACACTTTTTATCGTATCGATTTGGCCTTTCACTTGAAGACATGGCTAAGCGATACGTCAATGAGATAGTGAGACTTCATGGGTTCCAGTGAGCATAGTTTCTGATCGAGATCCTAGGTTTGTATCCAACTTCTGGAAGAGCTTGCAAGGGGCGTTGGGTACTAAACTCAACTTCAGTACGGCTTTTCATCCACAGACAGACGGGCAATCGGAGAGAACGATTCAGACGTTAGAGGATATGCTACGATCTTGTGCTATTAACTTTGGTGGTTCATGGGATGACCATCTGCACTTGGCAGAATTCTCCTATAATAACAGCTACCATTCCAGTATTAAGATGGCACCTTTTGAAGCAATGTATGGTCGAAAATGCAGAAGTCCGGTTTGTTGGGACGATGTTGGTGAGAAGAGGTTGACTGGCCCTGAGTTTATACAACAATCAGAAGAAAAAGTCAGGTTGATTCGAGAGCGACTGAAAACAGCTCAAAGCCGTCAGAAAAGCTATGCAGACCTTAAAAGGCGCAAGATAGAATTTGATGTGGGAGATCACGTGTTTCTAAAGGTTTCACCTATGAAGGGTATTATGAGATTTGGCACTCGCGGGAAACTAAGTCCAAGATATGTGGGACCGTTCTTGATATTGGAGAAGATTGGTGAAGTTGCTTATAAACTGGCCTTGCCACCAGCGTTATCTGGAGTTCATAATGTATTCCATGTATCTTTATTGCGAAAATATGTGCCAAATCCTGAACACGTATTGGATTTCACTCCTTTGAGGTTAAGAGAAAACCTGACATATGAAGAACAGCCTATTCGCATTGTGGATAAAAAAGAGCAAGTGCTGCGGCGACGTATAATCCCTTATGTGAAAATTCAATGGCAAAATCATACTGAGAGAGAGGCCACATGGGAGCTTGAGGAAGAAGCAAGAAACAAATACCCTCATTTGTTTGAAAGTTAAGGTAAGGCTAAATTTCGAGGACGAAATTTTTTAAGGAGGGTAGAATGTAATATTTGCCTCTTCTTTTGACCAGGTCAAAAGACTTAGGCTGAAGGAAAAAAAAAAAAGAAAAGAAAAGAAAAGAAAAGTCAAAAAGTGAAGATAAAAGGAAGAAGCAGCGGCTGGTCGAAAAGGAAAAAGGAGAGGAGAAAGGGAAGAAGAGAAAGGGAGGGTTTGTGCGCGCGGGTCCTCGCCGAGCCGTTCCGACTAAGTAACGCAACGACTAGTAAGTACTCGCAACCCTCGTTAGTCCTATCGGAATAATTTTTCGATTAGGGCTC